CGCCTGCCTCACTGCCTGCAGTTGCTGCTGCAGCGCCAGCGTGCGCCGCTCCTCCAGCGCCAGCTCCTGCTCCAGACGCTCGCGCGCGCAGCTCATACTCTGCGTGTGGCGCTGCAGCACCGCGTTCTGCTCCTCGAAGGCCACGTTCATCTTCCGCAGGCGCCGCAACTCTGCCTCGCGTGCTACGGGACGGTAGTCAGAGCCCAGGGCTGCCCCGGAGGGCGCGCTACACCCACGCCATTCCTGGCCCCACCTCTGACCCCCATCCCGCCTCCATGCCTGCCAAAATCTCACCTTTGTTTTGGTCCAAAAACTCTTCAGTGAAGATGGGGACATCGAAGGTGGAAAAGCCATCACAGTCCACACCCTGGGACAAGGCAATGAGTTTAGTGGGGACCACTTCTCTGGAACCTGGGAGGGTCTCCTGGACCACTTTCCTTGGCTGTGCAGCCTGCTTTTATTTTGTTTTGTTTTGATTTCTATCTGTGTATGCCATATGCATGCAGTACCCGCAGTGGCCAGAGGAGGGCAGCACATACCCCAGCGCTGACTGTGAACTGCCATGTGGGTACCAGGGATAGAACACCCGGCTTCTGCAGAGAAGCAGGTGTTCCTAACCTGAGCCACACTGGGCTACATACCAAGCAAACCACTCGATGCACAGGTTTACTCTCGGGGTTGGCGTTTTTTCCTGTCATGTTTATGGTTCTTTTGTTAGATTTGTTTTTTGAGACAGGGTTTCTCTGTGTAGCCCTGGCTGTCCTGGAACTCACAGAGATATATTGCCTCTGCCTCCTGAGTGCTGGGACTAAATGCCAGGATTAAAAGCATGCACTAACACTGCTGGGCTCATGGGTTTCTTTTCTTTTTTCTTTTCTTTTTTTTTCCGAGACAGGGTTTCTCTGTGGCTTTGGAGCCTGTCCTGGAACTAGCTCTTATAGTCCAGGCTGGTTTTGAACTCACAGAAATCCGACTGCCTCCCGAGTGCTAGGAGTAAAGGCGAAGGCGAGCGCCACCAACGCCCAGCAGGCTCATGTTTTGACACAGGGTCTTACTCTGTTTCAGGCAGGCTTCAAACCTGCCGCAATTCTCCCACCATAAGCTCCCAAGTACTGGGAACATAGGTGTGTGCCACCATGCCCACCTCAGCAACAGTCAATCACAGGGAGAGCTGAAGCTCAGTGTATGGAGCACTCTCCAGCACAAAGCTCTGGGATGTCCCACCATGCCTGTCATCCCCGAACTGGAAAAATTTGAGGCAGAAAAATTGGGAGTTCAAGGCCATCCTCAGCCACACAGTTCAAAGCTAGCCTGGGCTACATAAGGCTCTCTCTCAAATTTAAAAAAAAAAAAATTCAATTGGTTTGAGTGTGTGTGTGTGTGTGTGTGTGTGTGTGTGTGTGTGTTGGTGGAGCCATGGGCCTTCTGCATGCTGGGCCACAATTTCACCACTAAGCCACACCCATCCCAGGGTTGCTGTGTCCCCACAGTGGCCTTGCCTCTGACTTTGGAGCCCATCTTGCTTGGAAGTGGTCATGGTCACTTCCTCCTCTGAACATGGTTCTCACTAGCTTGAAACATTCATGTCTTCTCCCCAAGTACTTCTGGCCAGGGAGCCGCCTTACCTTGTGCCCATTCAGGAGCGTGTTCATGAGCCCAGAGCCGGAGTCCTCTGGTGGATAGGGAGGAGGGTGGGTCAGCCAGGGTTCCGGAGAGTCTCCCATCCTCTCAGGTAGGCCTGGTCCCCTCCCAGGCCAGGGTCAAGATCTGTGACCCTGTCCGATCCTAGGTAAACCTGTGTGCTGTGCCCGTTGGGTTTGGGGGTGCTGGGCACCTCAAAACAGGCCCACGGCCTACTCACCCTTTTTTATTTTGTTTTCTTGGATCTTCTCTGTGCAGACCTTATAGGCCTCCGACTGCTGATATGCCCACAGCTCCTTCAAGTACTGCTGTTTCTCCTTCTCTGCCTCATCCAGGTACCGCTGAGAGAGGGACAGCACCCACAAACTAGGGCCATCCCAGAGGAAGGCAGGCAGCCAGGGCCAGCACCCTGCCTCCCCCTGTACTGAGCCATCTGTAACTCTGGCCTTCCCTCCCTTCCTCAAACTCTTAGAGAACATCCCTCTTCTGGTCTAACTGATATACGGCATTTTTTCCTTGACTCTTTCTGCCCCCTGAACTTCCATGTCCAATAGGTGCTGGCTGGTGTGTGGCTTGTGTTATATTTCTTTAATATTTGTACGACTTGTATGGGTGTGTATTTGTGCACACGCACATGCAAACCCTTGTCCGCCATCACTCTCCACCTAGTTTTCTGAGGCAGGGTCTCTCACTGAACCCGTGAGGCTGGCCTTGGTGGCCGGGAGCCCAGGGATCCTTCCTGTCTTTCTCTCTCATCTCCTCCCGTGCCCACCTGCTTCTCTGACGGCTGCAGCTTGCTCCACTCGGCGCCCAGCATCTTGGTGATCTCCGGAAAGGGCAGGTCCGGGTGGCGAGTGCGAATTTGCTCCCGACGCTCGTTCAGAAAGCGAACATAGCCCGTGACAGGGGCCTTGGGCCCATTAGGGAGAATCTTCTTTCTCTTCTTGCCTTTGGGCCAGCCTCTCTTCTTCACCGGCTGCAAGAGGGGGTTGTGTCCTTGGGAGGAGCCCTGGACCGTGTGGGCGTGGCCCTGGGCCGTGTGGGCGGGGTCTAGCTCAGGGACAGGGTCAAGAGTCAAAAGAAAGGGTCCTGGGCCAAGACTGAGCCTGCCAGGAGTGGCGCTGAAGCCACTGGCGGATGGGGCTTGGCCTCTCACTAACTAGGCAGTGGGAATATTCTACACGGTGTGGACCTGTCAGGGGTGTGACGCTAAGCCAGGGGCGGGGCTTTCAGGTGGTGACTCACCTCCTCCTCCTGGGACCCTTTCTCTCCCACACGGGGACCCTCGCTGCGCTCCTGTTTGACAGTCACTACGAAGGCCCCGTGCTGGCCCGGGGTCTTGCCTCCTGCAGGCCTTGGGGACATGGGAAAGCAGGGTCATTCCCCATGCCAGAAGCACTCGCTCATACCTCATCTCCACCTTGCGGTTGGAGATCACAGAAGTGTGTGGGAGCACACATGAGCCCGGAAAAAGGAGTGGGGACCCAAGGCCACAGTAGACCACTGTGAGAACAGTCCGAGGATTTCAAGCTGGGAACTGGGTGGGGGTGGGGCCGTCCTGGAGTCTGGGAGCAGGACGAGGTAGGAGACCATAGGGTGCCCTAGCAATTCGGGGGGGGGCGGGTACAGACAGACCCTAGAGCCAGAAATCTCCAAATAGTGAAGGGACACTGAAAGAGATCCCAGGAGTGGGAATAAGGTAGACGGGCTAGGGACAGGACCGCACCAAGGGTTCCCTAAACAGGGGTACCTAGGGTAACAACAGAGCATGCTCAAAGGGACAGGAGGGTGGGGACAGCCATGCCTGGGATACCCTGGGTTGGAGATTGGGCGTTTCTAGAGTTACATGGGAGTGGGGGTACGCACCGGGGATGGGGACGGGGCATGCCCAGGGGTACCCAGGGAGGGGAGAGGCTGGGGGAGGCGCACTCACGCGGCGGCCCCGCCTGGCTGTCGGGGGCCGTGGGACATGGCCTTTCTGGGCGGGACCTGGAACAGAGGCCGGCAGAGGTCAGGGATCCTGCCCGCCACCCCGATGGGAACCCCAGGCCAGTGCCCCGGACGCCCGGGTGGGGAAGGCGGATCCCGAGGCCGGGAGGTCCTCGGGCAGGCTGCCCCGAGATCCTTTGTTGCGAG